GCATACATACATACATACATACATACATACATACATACATACATACATACATACATACATACATACATACATACATACATACATACATACATGCATGAGATTGTGTGCTTGTGTGTGTTATAGGCATTTATTATAAACCCAACCGTTGTGCTCATTTTTGGCCTATATGTTGTTGGGGGGGTTTTTTTCGGAGTAAAAATAAAAGGCCTTAATTTATTTTTCTCGAGACGTGTCACCTAACTCCAGCTATTCTTTACATTCTCAATAGCAAATCTGTTTTTGTATCGCGTTCCTCATGAACAAAGAATCAAGCAAGAATAGATCGCTAGGCTTCTTGTCTTTTCCTCAACACCTCCGCCTCTTTCTCTCTCAGAGTGTTGTGGTGTTACAAAGGGAAACTGCCTCTTAACAAAATAGGCGCAATGCTGTATCAAATCAAAACATTAAAAAATGTTTGATAGATGGAAATAGAAACAGCAGGTCAAAGTGAAACGAGAAGAACGTTCGAAACCTACATGTATTAATTGTTTGTACATTTTGGAGTAATAAGTTTGGTGGGTTTTTTTATCTGTTCCCTTTCTATGAGTTTGTTTCAACCTCACAGGTGCGTCTAAATTCTCACAACTGTGAAAAGAGTAAGACAAGTGCAACTCTGTTCTGTGGCCTATGTTACTATTTTTCTCTTTTAGTTTTTTGTCCGAGTTAATTTGAAGTTTAGCCGGCCTTGCTTCCCACTATTTCGTGTTCCTGTAGGAGGCAAGGGCTCTCGTGGTCAAGAGGTTACAATGTTAGCCTCTGCTCATTCGTCAGGTCCTGGGTCCGAGTCCGAACAACGATGGTGAATTTTCTTCTCTAAAATGTTCTCCTTTCACCTCCTTTCCTGCTCTCTAACGATGTTCTGTCGTCTGCTTTCGTTTTCCCTTTCAGCCCCACACCCCCTCACCTCCTTTGCCCCCTCCTCTTGGCTCCTGACTTTTTCTGCAGCCTTTCTACTGCTACTCCTTGACTTCTTTCTGCTGTCAAAAATTGCACACTGTTGACAACGGAATCTGGCTCCCATCCAGCTCTACCGGGGGTGGAAACGCTCTTTTTTTATAGTAGAGAGTTTTACGGCGCTCGCTACTGCATAAGGTCATATGAGCGCCAAGGGGTGGGTGTCAACAGAGAAGTCTTTACAGGGAATCAGACTTACTCTGCCCACCTCTCTAACTAATAATAATAATAATAATAAATAGCATTTGTACCGCGCATATCCCCGCTCGACAGCACGCTCTATGCGCTTTACACTATATTATTACCCCAGCAGACCATAGAACACTCCGAAACATTCTCAGCTTCCCGGGAAGCATACAGTGCAGGCAGCTGATTAAGCGCTCAAACACTAACAAACTGACAAGATCTTTCGCTGCCTATAGTCGAGTACCCATTCCCACCTGGGTGAAGTGAGGAAAATTCGTGTAAAGTGCCTTTCCCAAGGACACAACGTCAGGTCCTTGACGGGATTCGATCCCACGACCTTACGGTTGCGAGTCCGAGAGCTTAACCACTAGGCCACCGACGCAACAAGACCTCCACTCACACCTCACACTTCACAGGTCACAGCTCAACAGCGCAAGGTCTGCTTCGACTATCAAGGCACCCCGGAAATAGCGGGTCACAAGAGAGTGACAAACATACAAAAGAAGTAGAGGAAAATGACAATAGTAAGGATTAGGAAAGAAAAGGCAGCAGTTCCCTGTTGTAGACCAGGCATAGTTATGAGCGTGACTTGATGAGTCAGCCCATTTACAATTCTACTATACTTGAATGAGAAATGCCTCAAAAAAAGTGAAAATGTTCAGTTCTCGGCTCACGCATGAGCTGTGACCTGTGAAGTGTGAGGTGTGAGTGAAGGTCAATGGCCCATTGCAAGTAAGAATAAGTCAGTTCACTTTTCCACTCCTGCGTTTAGGTGTGAGGTATGAGCGTGAGGCGTGAGTTTCTATAGGCGAAAACATAGAGAACGCCGATTTCGGAGACTGACTCAGTAAGCGCCGATATGTATAAAAATCCCCTTATGATTTCCAACTTCCACCACATAGAGCTGGCAGACTGCAGGCGGCTTTAAGCACCGATAGGCATTGTCGGCTTTATCGGAATCCAAACTACATTCTTATTACCGGTACGCCGAAAAACTGGGAAGGGCCCCTCGCTGTCAATTCACTACCCCAGTGCCTACTAACATCTCCCCTTCCACACATAAACACACACACACACACACACACACACACACACACACACACACACACACACACACACACACACACATACACACATACACACACATACACACACACAAACACACACAAGCCCAATATATATATATATATATATAGATATATATATATATGTTATAATATAGATAGATAGATAGATAGATAGATAGATATATTATATATATAAATATGTACATATATATATATATATATATATATATATATATATATATATATATATATATATATATATATATATACAGAGAGAGAGAGAAACACACACAGAGAGGGTAAGAGAGAGAAGGAGAGAGAAGGAGAGAGATAGGATGAGACAGACCTACAGTGTTATATTAAACCCCTCACCTTTCACAGACACACACACACACACACACACACACACACACACACACACATACACACACACAACACACACAAACACACACACACAAGTATACACGAGCACACACGCGCAGACACAGACACATATACTCACACACACACACACACACACACACACACACACACACACACACACACACACACACATGCACACACACACACACTTTATCTTTCCTTCAGTTCTTTCTGTACCTCGTCAATCCATACACGATATCTTTTTACTTTATTCTCTAGCTTGAAATTGAGGAATGTTTGGAATATGTTTAAAAAATAAAATTTATAACGTTATCTTTCCACCGATAAAGTTCCCCTCTCAATACCTATTGTAGTGGAAGGTTGGAAGAAAAGAAAATCATACATTTTGAAGTGGTCTATCTGTTCTGACCGACTGCGGGAGAAATACAAGGACAAAGCACTCACGTGTTATAATGCCGTCTATTGCCGTGTGGCTGTCTGTTGTTCAGTAAGTGGGCGCAGAAACAGCCGCAGTACTTGGCTGTGCTGGTTTTATGCTATTTTTTTCATGGAGAATGAAAGAAAAATTGTGTTCTGTTCCATTGCTTTCTGTGTGTAGACACTCTTTATTACCCCAACCAGTGTGTCCGCGTGGAAAGGGGAGGAGGGGTGGATTGGTGTGTCCAGCATTAAAGCCGTCACACTTCAGTCGATTCGTGAAGTGTACAGTGGACAGGGTCTGCTACTGGTACGGTATATTATTAGATTACGGATACGGGCCTGGCTGAAAAATTTGCCTCTCCACAACGGAAAGGCTTTCCAGTGTTGTGTTTCAGTACATTGACTTTTGGAAAGTGTGCATGCTTCAAGATATTAGTCTACTGATAACATCATGAGGGCAACAACAAAGACTAATTTAGCATTACTCTGTCTGGCGTGTGCCTCTTTATTTGGTATGGGATATGTGTCACGATACCGTGCCAGTACTAATGTTGATCTCAGTGGAATACAAAAGATACAGCAGGCAACCATTAGCCCCCCGCTTGTCACTGTTTTCAAGAAGGAAAATCCGAGATGTGTGGATTTACTGAGTGCGGTACAAAATGGGTACTGGGTGTCAAGAACACCGCCAAAAAGAGAACTTATAGAAATACAATCGTTTCTCGACGACGTCAGAATTGGATATTTCAAACTCCCTCCCACACTTCAGCGAGACGATGGACATTGTGGTGCGTATGACAGTTTTAGTAGATATAGGCCGTCCATACATATTTTTTAACGGCATTATGAAAATAACTTTTTGATAGAATTCACAAATTTATCCCAAATTTAGACCTTAACATGATTGAGAGCGTTCACTTGACTCCGACAAAAAATGGGTGCAGCAATGATGATGATGATGATGAGGAGGAGGAGGAGGAGGAGGGGGAGGAGGAGGAGGAGGAGGAGGAGGAGGAGGAGGAGGAGGAGGAGGAGGAGGATGTGAAACGTGATCATCGACTTCTCATATAAAGCTCTTGGCCTGGCTCATAATGGGTCTCGTCCGGCCAGTCTTGGAACTTACTAAAAGACCTTTCTGGGGTCATGTTTCTCGCCCTTTTGTCTCCTACCTTTTCAAAGTAGTAGTAGTAGTAGTAGTAGTAGTAGTAGTAGTAGTAGTAGTAGTAGTAGTTGTTGTTGTTGTTGTTGTTTTTTGTAGCTGTTGTTGTTGTTGTTTTTTGTAGCTGTTGTTGTTGTTGTTGTTGTTGTTGTAATTTTAATAGCAGTAATAGATGCGATTATGTATTATGCTATACTCCCTGAGTATGAACACTCCATCGAGTTCTTCTGCTATCGGCTCATCGTGTCATTTTTCTCGCTATTCATTTTGTTTTATTTCTCTTTCTTTACACGAAAAAAATATATATATACCTCATCATTGACGTTTTTAACTCTTTCTTTACGACAGGTAATGTTAATTTTAAAGGTAGAATGTTTCGAGCCCTGTGCAATCCTGATGGGCCTACACCGTGTTGCTTCGAGTTCCAGTGTGCAAGTAAATCTGTAGACCAATGTCGCTGCAGCACCTGTTTTGATCTGAGAAGGGAAATGCACGCAGACTTTGGGTCTTACGTCTTAAAAGATCCAGCATGCAAGGTAACAATAGGGTTTTCGGCCTGTTGCCCGTATTTTGAGAACGCTTTATGTTTCCTTCAATATCCTGAAGTTCTAGGCCATCTTATATCTAAGGTATAAGCCTACCTTCTTTTCAACTAAACAGTAGCATAGTTACTTATGTAGGTTTAAATGTACCTGTTTTAACAAAAACGGGACAATGTTTTCGAAAGAGGTTTGACGTATATTTCATTTTGTGACAGTGAACGCCATTTATTGTGCGGTAATTTCTGTAAATCATTAAATCAGTATGTCCTTTTTTGTTGCTGTATCATTTTCAATAAAATCAAAAAGAAAGATCTTCAAAATTATCCTAGAGCAAAACCGTGTCGTCGACCTTAAAACGAAGGAACAACTGTCTCTACAAGCAAACAGGGAGCAGTTATATTACCTGTCCACCCTGTTCAAGTGTGAGGAGAAATAACATTTTACCGTTCCCATAATGTGAGAGAGTGTGCCGCGGCATTCCTGCCCGTAAATTAATTTCTTCGCAGTCGTGGGTTCTGTTAGACGACCTCTCTCCCAGTACATTCACAAAGACATCATTGTAAGTTTGAACAGCTACTGACTATGACGAATATTGGTCGGTTAAATAAGTGTCCGTCGCTACGTACATCGAAAGGTTACCACTGTGTATTTTAAGGGAGGTTTTTTAAGTCAGAGAGGCCCCGTGTGCCTTTGTATGCAAACATATACATTAAATATAAGTGTGAGCCTGCATGTGTGTTTAAATAAAAGTGCAAACATGTGTAATCTGATACAAGCCGTACTGTTGGCTGTCACATGTTTACCCGGCGGGATCTGATACAAGACGTCGTGACATTTAACTGATTTTGATGTAATGAACCGTCAGCGGGAAAAGAATGTATATTATGTGTCCAACCAAGGAAGACCAACCGAGCAACTGGAAATCTCTCTTTCAAAAAGAAAAGCATGAAAGTGAAAACAGTTTTACTGTTAAAATTAAGCATTAGATTGAATAATATAGGAAATGCCCAGGGTATTGTGTGGTCTATCAAAGAAATAATGGTCTGACAGGAATATCAAGATAATAAAGACCACGATGAAAGTATACCGAAGGTGCATTCTGGGTATCATATGAGGACCTGCTGGACAACATATTTATATTTATACAAAATCCTCACCAGATTTTTTTTAGATGGTATTACGTGCTACGTAACTGCGATGAGATTAGATTTGATGAGTTGTAGAATCTGCTTCAGTTGCCCTTTTTGGGGGAAAAATTAACAAAGTTCTGTCACCGGTGTTTAAGAGATAAAAATACTATGTAATACCTTTATTCATCAACGTAATAATTTTTTTTACGCCTAGATACAGTTGTTGTTGTTTGTTTGTTGTTTTTTTGGGGGGGTTGGTGTGTGCGCCATATGCGCGCGCGTGACACACTGAACATTTTCAGTTTGTAGGAAATTTTGAATTTTGCCCGGGTGGCGGCCGAAGCCTACTCTTATCGATTTTAGACCACCAAGAGATCTTTAACGTGCACAACTTGCACACGGGACCTCCGAGATTTTTTCGCCTTTGTTCGAGAAGGCTAGGTGTAGATCTTTCCTACCAGAAGATCAGGGTTGTGGCTGAAAGACAGCAGTAAGAAGGGGCCAAGGCGAAGAAGTTGAGAGGTTGCAGAAAGAGTCAGGAACCCAGAGGAGGGGGAGGCAAAGGAGGTGAGGGGATGGGGGTAGAAAGTGGAGATGAAAGCAGACGACAGAACATTGCTGGAGAACAGGAAAAGAGTTGAAAGGAGACTATTTTAGAGAAGAAAAAGAATTTTGTCGCTACGTGGATTCGAACCCAGGACCTTTGGATGAGAGCGAACACCTTAACGTCTAGGCCACGAGAGCCCCCAGATACAGTTTGAGCAGTGAGAAGTGTTTTGGTTTAGTTTTACTACGCGTCTCACAACACTTGGAGCACAAATGGGTTGTATAAGTATCCAGAATTAGTGGTGTTACTAAAGAGTAACAAACAAGGAAAAGAAGATGGAGAGACGATAGATATGTGATAAGAAAGGAGAAAAGCACATCATAGCACCTGCCAACCACCCACAGGTAGGAATGTGTCGACACAATAGTTTCATTGTGCGCTGGAAATATACAAAACTGACAGACAACGGCAGAAGGAAGAAAGTTTCCTACATTCATATAATTTTTTAAAAATTTTCATTATAAGAAATCTGACATAACACACCTTTATCTCATGTTCCATTAAGCATAACCACCGCCGGTCTCAATACACCACCGTCAAATACAGTGACAAAGTGACTTTGTCAAGGGACCTATTCGCCCATTAAGGTGGCCAGTTTAATGTCTCCTTCCTATTCAAACCTTTGCCGACAACGGTGTTCCTTCATCTTGGGGAAAACATAGAAGTCACAGGGAACCGGATCGGGTAAATAGCGTGACTGCTCCAACGTTAGCCAAGTGTAGCTTCCCAAAAAGTTCCGTCGCAGTACTGGTTTGGTAGACAGCAGCATTGTCATGATGGAACATTACTCTAGATTTCCAGCAGGCCAGTCACTTTTTCCGAACAGCTGATCTCAATTTTTCTTGCAAGACCATTTTATAGTACTGGGCGTTAACAATAGTGCCTGTTGGGACCGACCGTTATACTGTACCCTTAGTGTCATAGAAAACAGTGATTTGACGACATGCTGTCTCTGAAACCTATGGAGCAAAACCATAGAGGAATTGACTCTCACTTCACATCTGTTTGACCCTGGGTGAGCAAATGGGGTGCTCATTTTGGAAAAACATTTTCTTTTCTAAAATTCATTTTGTCAGTAAGAATCCTGAACACCTTTGAAGTTGACAATGGAGCTTCATTGGCTATATCTTCTGAAGATTTTGACGTGCCGTCATTCAATATTGTGACAACTTTAACCCTTTCGCTGCCAGACCTGTTCCATAATCCTACCAAAGAGTTCGGCATCACAAAATGCTGTGCTATTTAATGGCCATTCAATATTATGGAGCAAAATTTACCTGTAAATTTTGCAAGGATTATTGTGAATGTATTGTTTTATAGCTGTCGAGACAAGCATTTTATGGACATCGGAAATGGACGTGTTTCAACAAACCTATTTACATACCCACCCATCCTTTCCCAAACACATTTCAATCAACAAAAATGATAAAGGAATCATCCTGGGACACCAAGACGAGAATAACAGCACAGCGTTTCTGGTAAAATCGGGATTTCCAAGGTTCAAGATTGGAAAGAAGGGCTTAGAAGGGAACGCATAAATGCTATTTTCTTAAAAGATAGTTGAGCATTTCTTTGAAAGCAGTTTAAAAGATAAGTTGGTAATTAGAAGCAAAGATGAAGAATTATGAGAGGCAGACATGACGTTGCCTAGGTTGAAGTCCTAAAGGAAATCGCTATAATTATGCACGTATACTAGAATATATGTATTTTATTGTGTGAACAGAGTTTATTATCTAAAACTATTTTACCTTTTCTTATGAAATTCTTGCCACGTCAAGTCATACTATAATTATTTACGGTATATGGTTGGTTTGTAGAATTGTTCTAATTTGAATATGCTAAGATAATATAATTAGATTTACTTATGATTGCTCTGTAAATTTGTTCACAGATGACCACCTTCAAATCAAAGGCAGATCTATGCTCGATGCTGGAGAATGTGTCAATCAGCTTCATTGGAGATTCGTTTGTTCGACAAATTTACATCTCGGTCTTGGCAATGTTGCGACATGGAAAGATCGGCAATGTCGTAAAGAACAACACATCCATGAGTTAGTCTTCTTCTTCTTCTTCTTCTTCTTCTTCTTCTTCTTCTTCTCCTTCTCCTTCTCCTTCTCCTTCTCCTTCTCCTTCTCCTTCTCCTTCTCCTTCTCCTTCTCCTTCTCCTTCTCCTTCTCCTTCTTCTTCTTCTTCTTCTTCTTCTTCTTCTTCTTCTTCTTCTTCTTCTTCTTCTTCTTCTTCTTCTTCTTCTTCTTCGTCTTCTTCTTCTTTTTCTTCTTCTTCTTCTACCGTTTGATGTGAATGTTGTTATTTTTGTTGTTCTATTCTATTTCACGTGTCTGTCTGATAACCATCTACCTTAAAGTCCATTTTTAATTTTGCCTTTTTTTTCTTTCCGGGAGTTGAGAATTCTTTTCTTTTCAATTTATAGTGTCATTTTTGTTTTAATTTCAATTACAATTTCCATAAGATATTCACAGATATAGACTCGAATCGTTCAGTTGTGATAGATCTACATGTTCTCTCTAAATACACCGTTACTCTGCTTTATGACATTTCTCATAAGATGTAATCTTTCATATGTTGCACTTGATTAGGAAACAGCTAACAACTACATGTACCGTCATTGGCATTTTTCTTATTATTTCAATTTAGTAAGAGTTTTACAGCACTTGCAACAGCATGAGATCATACATGTGCCGAAGATTAGAGGTGTTACAAGAGAGTAACAATTACTACCAAAAAAAGGAGAAGAGAAAAGCACGATAGATATTTGAGAGGAAAGAAGGAGAAAAACACACCAGAGCATCTGCCAACCACCCATGGCTTTTTTCTGATCCTTGGCTATTCGCTGAGCGATGGGTGCAACACCGTTTTAAGAATAGATTTTTGCGTGTTTCTTTCAGTTCAAAATAATATTAAGTTTTACATTTTTCTCTTCGACACTCCCGTTAGAACAGGTGTTTCTTTATGTTTAGAGGCAAAGCAACAATGGATTTTGTACCCCATTTGAGAAAATGTTAGCAATATATTAAACTCAAGAGGCGGTTATATGCTGAAGTGTGTGTGTGTGTGTGTGTGTGTGTGTGT